GAAAGGATCTGTATTAAAGCAAATTTTAGAAAGAGCAAAAAAGATGATTAGCAAAACATCTTTAACATCAATTCATTTGAATGGCACAGTATCAATTCTTTATTGCAACTGACTTGAAATCTACTTACCATCATGACCAAGACTTGATGAAAGCAGTCTTCAATACTGTTTTTGAGGCCTCTTGTCAGATAAATTCCTTTTGAATTAACCAATAGAGTTGACCACTTTCAGCACTTTATAAACAAATCCATTGTCAACTTCAGATAGCTCTGTTGGATAATATAACTTTATGGAAAAGTAAGGAAAAATATGACATTAACCTCAGATTTAATGAGGCTACAATCTAGATAAGTACACATACTTTGTGATTTTCATGGATTTTCTTATTTTATTTCTAAATAAAATTAAACCTGGTCCTGAAAGATTTAGGCTATTAATAGAACTTTCTCACTCTCAGGTTATGTATTCACTTCTTTCATGCTATAGAAATGTCCTTATACTATTAGCATTGATATACCAGTTGCTCTGAAAAGATTATTTATCTCATACAAATTAAAACATTTTCAATACTCAAGATGGCTGAAAAGATACTTGTAAATGTGTGATAAATTCTATTGATGAAACCATTTTGTTATAGAGAGATGTGCATCTGATTATATTGGTGCTGCCATCTTAAATCAAGCTGGTAGACTAGTGATTTTTTTTTTTTTTTCATAGAAAAGGGAACATATGCTATAGTGGAGGCTCTCTGCAAGTGAAGACATTATTAAATTAGATACCAATTTACCCTTCTTACTGATTAGAACTCAGTGGAATTTATATTTTATTCTAAACAGACTAGTAAATTTAGAATAAGTTTCAGAGATAGAGGATTTAGCTTGCAGCTTAGCTTTAGCTTAATACACTTTTGGCATAATGAATAGGAGGGATAATATTATTGCAGATGCTTTGACCAGAGCATGCTGTTTTGCTGTTACTTCTAATGCATTAGTTAAATTGCACAACTCTTTTTATCATCTAGTCATTGCAAACATTAAATAAGTACAAGGAACCTACAATTTGTGACTGACTGAAATAATTGCAAACGTTTTCTAAATAGACTGTCTTTGTTGATAGAATGAGGCACTCTATAGCCTCTGACAAGTTTGGCTCATGTGACTACTGGCAGCTCTATAATAGTGTCTTAAATAAGAATAAGTCTTCTATTTCTCCTCTCTTCACTCAATTCGAGGTGTTAATATCTGATACAGAATGTTTTGCTTGTAAACTCTATTTAAATTCTACTTCTGACTCATCTGGGGTAACTTTGCCTGATTTTCCACTTAGAACTGAGTTTCTATTGAGTGATATGCATATAATCCTGTCTATGGTTTCTGTTATCATTTCTAAACTGGAACCTTACAAAGCATGTGAACTTGATGGTATCCCTGGAATAGTCTTTAAGACATGCTTCTGAACTGTTTCCTGTTCTCTCTAAACTCTACAATGAATGCCTTGCTGCTTCTTGCTTGTTACAAATTCTCTTCTCGTTCCAGTTTTTTAAGAACAGACGAACAACCTGATCCTTCTATTGGCCTATTAGCCTCCTACCTGTTTTTGGCAAAGTGCTAAAGGCTCTAATCTACCCTGAATTGGTTAAGTATCTCACATTACATGGTCTTCTTTCAGATAAACAATATGGCTTATCTAGGTCATGCTAATGATTATTGCTGAAAGAGTCTATCAACATTATTTACATTATTTGGACTATTGTCCTCATCTTTGTCGCCATATTTATCATGTTTTGGCCGTTGTACCTTCCAGCCTTCTTCAGGTGGTTGGAATGTCAAACTGAACCCTTTATTTCACTCACTGGAGTAGACTGTTCTAGTTCCACGTGCCATGTTTGATGGATGTCAGTTATCAGTTATCTCCTGTTAATTTCCCCCTGAAAGTTCTCCACTGCCTTAACCGGGTATTTGACTCGCACACTTTGGGTCCTGTCACTGGATCTAACCAATGCCTTTATCCACTGTGCCATGTCTTCAGCAACCATTTTTACCAGTGCCCATATTGCAATTTTTGTTGTTATCATCTATGTTTTTACCAGAGCTCATATTGCAACTTTGTTGTTATCATTGCTTTTCTCTGGCACTCCTTATTACTGGTTCCCATATTGTATTTATTTCTATGCTTGGTCGGCTCAGGAGGTTTTTGTGGCTTAGCATATGTGCTGATTCCTTAAGTTTACAAATTTCCCAATGGTGTCTATGATCTCAACATGATCCCACAGAGGGCGGTGATCTCCCTTCTTTCTCTATATGTGGTCAGCCATGCCTGATTTTTCTACTTCCCCTCATGTTATAGCTTTCTGGTGTTCTAATGGTGAAGCTTTGGCTGATTCTTTGGATATCTTGAAGACATTTGACAGGATTTGATATAGTGGTCTTCTTCACAAGTTGAAATGTTATGGTATTTCTGGATGAATTTTTGAACTGTTCTTATCAAATTGTGAAATGAAAGTTGTGCTGAATGACCACTCATCTTGGTTCTCAGTTCTCATCTTGGTATCTATGCTGATTTATTCACAAATTATGGTATCTATGCTGATTTATTCACAAATTATTTACTCCTGTCTTAATAGTAAGTTGATCAGTTTGATAATGTCAAATTGGCAGCTGATCTAAAAAAAAAAAATGAAAGAACCCAGTCTTAACCCATGATAACCTGAATGCAATAGATAACACTATCATGAAGATTCCAAACAAAGCTCAGTACAGATTGAAGTTGATGTTAAGTCCTTGCTATTATTTCCAACCTGACAGATTTTTTTTTTTTATTTCCAATTATTATTGTTGTACTCTCCTCTTTCACAGTCTTCTGACCTCTTGGTAAACATCTTTGAACACTGTCATTGTTGTAACAAAGATTCTGTCACTTAGCATTGCCAATGTAAGGGAGATAACTCTAGTACAGGAAACAACATTTTGTAATGGCAATGTAACTTCAAGATTTAGCTCTAGCAGGTCATTTAAAAAATAGTCTGTCATTCAGAACACCATCTTAACTCTTTATTACTTTGAATGCATTAGATAACAATATCATAAGGATTCCAGCCAAAGCTCAATACATATTGAAACTGAATTTATTGCACCTGTAAGCAAGTCATTGATTTGTTGCATGAGGTATACTCGTTGTCCTAATAACCAGGCTTCATTATGCTGATCTGGGCATGTACACAAGCCATTTAGTTGTCTGAACATATAATTTTAGTGATGTGTTGAAGTACTTAGTTTATTCTTTATAGATACTAAGTTGTGGTGTTCTTTTTTAATTTTATTTAGCAGCAGAAAGAGTGATCATTTTGTTTATTATTTGTTGTGCACTTTTCTGTATTCAGGGCAGGATTACTAGCATCATAGTTGACAAGACTGGATGATGTATTTTGCTGCTTACTGAAATATATTCAGTTTCTACTACACACCTGAAAAGAGCAGAATGGTACAATAGTTGAAATTTGACTATAATAACTAAGATGAGCATAGCAGTTTGAATGAATCATTGCATAATAATTGTGATATTTACATTAACATATTCCATGAGGTATTCATATTAATATCATGATCTTTACTGCTTTTGTTATAATGTTTCTCTGGAAAGATGAGGATGCTAATCCAATTAATCTTGCTATGTAATGTACCAAATTGTGTATTTATTATGTCTGTAACCTTTAATCATAACAAGAGAGAGTTATTCCCCTTGCATTAACGACTCGGCCTCCTCAGGTAGCAGCATCATTTTCTTAATGTCCTAGCAGACTGTTGAATTTGATAATACAAAAAAATTATCTGTGAAATTTAGAAAAGATGATAAAAAATAATTAATCAGAGTATATTGGTGTAAGCTATATTTTGAGAAAAATATATTTAAAAACTCACATATGTATATCTAATAATAAAAAGAACTTAAAAGATGCTGTCATTGTTTATAGCATGGGCAAACTTGTATTGATATAAAATCATACTAGATATAAAGTAAGGGATCTGTTTTCCATTATTATTACATAATAAACTGGTCTCCCTTGAATTACTACATATTATTATTATTATAGTAATTGGAAAAATATATTTAAAGATTTACATGTAAAAATCTAACAAAATATGCTCTCACTTTTTACTCCTTGAGTAAACAAGTTCATTGAATAATGACAGATGACTATCTCAGAATTTCTGACAACAATTATCATGGCTATTGTTTCTGGACTATAACTGTATATGAGAAAATGAACACTGTATGAACAAGTTTTGATTTGTCTCGTTTCTAATGTCAATTACTACAAGCTGAACATGTCTGGTCAGCCTGAATCCAAATAGTCATCAGAGTGATTAATTCTTGTACTATGAACAAATCAATATTCAGGTATCAGCTTTGAAAGTATTGATAGTAAAAATTACTGATGTAACTAAAGTCTACTAACTGCCAAAAAATCTTGTTCTCTAGAATTCAGAAAAATCATCAACAAATATATTTTATAAGACTTAAGTAGTTTATAGATCATAAGTAGAGAATAGTATAAAGAAGGATGTGCATTGTGGTGTAATGGATGACGACTCGGAAGGAAAAATCAGAGAACCAAGTTCAAATTCCAGTCATTACACTCATTTATTGTGCAAATACACTAGGGGAAAGTATGAATCGTTCTCTTCTCTCCCCCCCCCCACTATGAGTTGAATAGCGGCATAAACTGGATACTATATCCTTGGTTGGCAACTAATCTACTGCAGAAAGAAATGGCAACCTACTGCAGGAAAAACTTCTGCCTAGTCAATCATGAATCAAAAGACACATGATCACCCAAGTGTTTATCATATACGGCACTTAACTGAATGATAAAGAAGAAAAAAGGGAAAGATTGATATTCTGCACATTTACTTAAAAAAAAAAGCAAAACTTGACACAAAGACAAATAAATATTGCAACTTATTTCTATAGATTTTTCAATATGATTTCTTTATTTTCAGGCAAATGGGACTTTTGACAGATCCACGCCAGCGGCGACGCTTTGTTCTCATCATTTCTCGTTATAACAATCGTCTGTGTGCCTTGTTCTACATCTCTGGTCTTCTCTGGTTCCTTGGCCTGGCATATGTCTATCTTAATGCTGGAACTTATTTCTCAGAGAATGCACTTTTGCCAGGTAAGATTGTAATTATTTTATTTCTATTTTGAATCATTGTGCTAAATCTTTTGAAAGTTTTTTACCAATTCTGTCATCTTGAAGCCACACTGCAAACATTTCTATTTTTTTTTATTAAATTTTGTAGTCTATTTCAATGCTAATATAAGAAACTAATTCATGCATATCCACAGATACACATAAATTTCTTGTAAAATTTGTCATCTATCCACAGGTTCACAAATTATTTACCTGTTAGAGATAAGGAAATTAAACAGTGTAGTTTACACTAGAAATAGTTTTTCACAATATCACAAATTGCTACAAAACCAAAACATTAACTTAAATAACCTCATCAGATTGAGACTTCCATATGAATGTCATGCATAGTACCATACTTGTTCAGAAATGTTTAAACTGTCAGCTGTATACAACTGCTTTCTCATGTCAATGATTAAAAATGGCTTTGAGCAAATAAAGCCTGTAGCCCTTAGGACAATTTTCTTTGGATCTCATAAACTAGCAAGACAGAATCACAAACTAAGAACTGTACCAAATAACAGACAGCACATCACTGAGGACTTTCAACAACTAAAATGGATATCACATATAACTTGAAGAGAAAATAATGACATAATGAATATGTTGACTGTCCACACTACTTCAAGCAAAAGGTTAGAAAGGAAGTTCCACTCAATACTGGAAAGAGCAATGACAGTTACTGGACTTGAGAAACCTATTTTTCTGAAAAATTGTCGTCATAGAAAGATTTTATAAATTTCAACTGAAAGTAGCACTGGCTCTTTAGTCAATGAATTCTGACTGTTTCCTCATAAAGAAACAATTACCATCAGTTGTCTGGCAATGTTTGTCACTTTTGTGTTTGTGTCACTGTTAACAGTAGCCTATCTCTATTTATGCTATGTTATAATGATTTTATTGCTGCACATTTTAGGAACATCTCTAGAGTGCTAATCTTTGTGAAGATGATATACAGTTGAGAAACTGAACAGATTGTTTTACAAAAGGTTTTTGCATAAAGATGGAAGCTTTTATTTTGAATTAAATGGAAAGGACTTTTTTCTTGATGTCAATTGAATAGACTAAACAAACAAGGAAACTACTTCATGATACAGATAAAAAAGGTAATAAAGACATTTAATAATAGAAGTCACAACTGGATATGAATCAACAATAAAAATGCAACATGCAGCCAATCTTCACTTAATGACCTGGTTGCTAAATGAGAAGTTATAGCTGATGGGTATTTCTAGCATACTACACATGTAATGGATTTGTGCCATCCAGCTTCAAATAGCTTTATTATCACTTTGTAACATTTCCAATTTATTTCTAAATGTTTATACAATACTGTCAGTCAGTTAAGTGTCATATTTGATATACACTTGGGTGATTATGTCTCTTGATTTATGACTGACTAGGCAGGATTTTCCTGCAGTAGGTTTCTGTTTCTCCAGTAGACAAGTTGCCAACCAAGGCTATAGAACCCAGTCTGTCTTGCTATTCAACTCATAGCAGGGTTGGGGAGAAGAGATGGGTTCATACCTTTCCCTCGGGTATTTGTGCATAAGTGAATGTAAAAAAAAAAAAAAAATCAACTAGAATTTGAATTCAGCACTCTGATTTCTCATTCTAAGCCGATATCCATTACACCACATTCATTCCATACTGGATATTAAATGTAATAAACAAATTTGGCAATCAACATTATATTCTGTATGTGACCTTGGTTTGCACAGTGTAAATACAATACAAAGAAATCTGTATCTATTTTTCATTTTATTTATTTTTATTCATTTTGAAGAAAGACAAAACAATTACGATCACAGTTTTCATGCAACGTACAATATTGATTCCTCATCGTTTTTTTTTTAATTTATTTTATGAGGTTAAATTTAGTCATAGGATTGGCAGTGGTAGTTAAACAGGTATGTCATTAACTGAGGAGTAACCATATTTATCAATGACAACTTGATAAAGCAAATAACCCCTAAAAGATTCAGTAGAACAATACAATAGAAAAATTTCAATAACAATGTCGAAGTCTCAGTAAGATATTCTCTATTAGATACCAAAAGTGTATACATGCACATACATACATGTATAAATATAACCAATATAGTTGTAATTTTACTGAAAGTAGTGATTACTTTTAATCTTTTAAGTTTCTAGAAATGTAATAGAAATTTAGTTGGTTAAGTTATTACAAGCTCTTATTATTATTATAGCCATTGTTATGAGTTTTGCATAAAGGTGTTGAGTTTTTTTGTTTTTTTTCTTCTTTGTTTCATGAATATTTTCAAGTAAAGCAATACAGAAGCTAAGGTGATAACTTATTCCATACAATAAAAATGTCAGGCTTTGATTTTTATTTATTTATTTTTTTTTTTTGTGCCTTTATCAAAAAAGAAATTGTTAGTGTTTTTATCTTTTATTTTTGTCTTTTTATAATTGTTTTCCCCTCGCAATAAGAAGACAAAGGCTTTAAATAAAATATGTATATTTTTATCTTCTGAAAAAAAATTGTTTACAGTATATACCTTTTTTATACCATATGTATCATATGCAAAATAATATTTACTAGTAGTGGCCATGAAAATTTTACTGTTTTGCTATTTGAATTTCCTGAGGAATCAGTTCTTAACTTAAAACTGAATAAACCTTTTGCGAGTTCCACAACTTTAAAATATGTTAAATATTTCATCTTAACAATTTTAACAAAATATTGCAATAACAATCATAACTATGAATGCCCATCAGAAGTAAGAGGGTACAAATGAAAAGATTAAAAATTGACAAGGTTTTTCCATTTCACTGAAACAGACATTAAATGCATGTGAGCATTATTGCTGCCTCTATATCCCCTTTCTTTCTTTATTTTTCCCACTAAAACCAAACAGCATTTCTGATATAGCTTTTTCTTCAGTCTTTCTTTACAATCAAAATGGAACAATCCATTATGGCAGGGTGTAACATACATGCTAACTAGTTAAGGGACAAACAGACTTATAAGATGATACTAAATAAAAGCTCTTTCTTTTTTTTTTTTTTTTTTTTTTTTTTAATAAAAAAAAAAAAAGTCATGGCTTTTTTATTTTGTGTATGTGCTCCTCATCTTCTTAATCGTAACTGTAAGATTCATCTCTTTCAATTCTAACAACACAATCTTTTTCCAACTGATTCTTGGCTGCTTTTTTTTTTTTTCTTTTCCAAGTTGGGATCCATCTCATGGCAGCTTTATTTTTATTTTTTTTTTTTTTTTTATTGGACATTCTTAAGATATATTCTTCAGTTTTTTTTTTTTTTTTTAATTTGTTTTGTACACCTTTAACAAAAATACAGAAGCTGTTAAAGACTTTAAATAAAGATACAGTCTTACTATGATTCATAAAAAGTAAAACTAACATTTTTTTATTCTTAGGTTTGGTTGAAGGGGAATTTTATACGGAGGCTGATGTGAAACTGTACAAGAATGAGATGAAACAAGAAATGGAGAAAGATAAAAGGTTAGCCAATCAAACTATTTTTGATGATGCAAATAAAGAATTTTTGCAGATTATTTACTTTTTTTATGAGCGGCTACCCATAAAAACTTAAGGGATTTGAACTGCATGCAAAAACCATTTGTAGTATAAACTTTTGCTATTACACTTTTGTGAGCAACACCGTAACATCTAATTTTCGACTATTTCCTTCAAAGTAGTACTTTGAAGTGTTAGAAACTGTGTTATAGTAAATTTTCATGGTCAAATTTCCCAAATTTTAAGGAGTAGCACCTCATATGAACCAGTTAGCAATTGAAGAATAGAAAGAAAAAAGAAATGGAAGACTGAATTTTTCTTATGCTGCTATTCAACAGTTGAATAATATTTTTGATATGTAGATCCACCAACTTTTGATGGGAATAAAAATAAGATGTGTTAAGTGAACAAGAAAGGAAACCAAATAAAATAAAAAAAATTGATTTGCATAAAATGATTATAAATAAATACAAAAATATTGACATAAACTGCTCATCCGTTTTAATAATGGACACTCATTTATTGATATTTGCTAAGGTTAGCTTCGTCTGGCACAAGGTTATGATAGCGAAGGTTGATTCACTATGATAACTAATAGTCTATCAAACTAATCATTCGACTTCAAACCTTGTAGACTGGCACTACAGAATCACAAAGAACTGTACCAGATAAAAGAAGCATCATCACCTGAGGACTTTCAAAAGCAGCAGCAACTAAAATAGATATTGTATGTAACTCCTAAAAGAAAATAATGGCATAATGAAGATGTTGATATTCCACACCTACTTCAAATAAAAAGGTTAAGAAGGAAACCCCCATCAATACTGGAAAGAGCAATAACAGGTGCTGGACTTGAGAAACCTTTTTTTCCTAAAAAAAAGAATTGTTTTAAGAGAATGATTTTATAAATTTCAACCAAAAGTAGCACTGACTGCTTAGTCAATGAATGTTGAATATTTCCTTATAAAGAAACGGCTAATATTACATTTACTTACTTGATGTTTGGGTAGCATAATGGTTATCAATACAGAAATTGGAATCGGTGAGCCAAATTCAAATTCTTCAAGTCCAATATGCACTTGACATTTATACCATTGGGGAAAAGCATGCATACATATCTCTCTTCAGCTACAGGTCCAATAACAGGGCAGGTTTTATAGTTTTAGGTGGCAGCCACACTATGAGAAGGACATACATACTTACATACACACACACACAGGCACATATATATATATATATATATATATATATATATATATATATATAAAGTAATCAGTTTATCAATTAACTGATTGATGTTACATTCAGCACCCCAACTCCAGAGTTTCATAGATGGTCCCTTCAGGAATTACATGATCCACTCCTCAGGGTATCATCAATTGACTGCTTATACTTCTTGATATTTTTTTTACACTTTATACTCACTTCTTGATCTTTTCTTTTCCCTCTTTTCTTTCAATTATTACCATTTGACTTCCAGTTTTCGAGACGTGTTGTCATGGTTAATTTTTCAGTGTTCTAGTTCTTTTCTTGAGTTAGGGAAATTGTATTTCATATTTTTTTATTTATTTTTTTTACATGCTTAAACAATAAAGTAAGTATTTGACTAAATATATATATATATATATATAGGATGTGATTGATAAATTGTCTTAATTACACAAAAATGAAATTAACACTGTCATATCATTTTAACAGATATATTTACCAAAATTACACAAAAATATCTTGAAATATCATAGTAAATTTATTCAATAAAATTACCATTGGCTTCAACCACTGCCTCCAGTTGACTTTGGAATCTCTTGCAACTCTTCTGGATAGTCTCTTTGTTTAAGTTAGTGAATGCTGCCATAATCCTTGCCTTCAGTTTATCTTTGGTGTTATAAGGAGTTTTGTTGGTCTCACGCTCAACTGCGTCCCACATATAATATTCAAGTGGGTTTCAGTCTGGGGAGTTAGGTGATCAGATATAAGGGGTGATGTCATAGAAATTGTCTAACAGCCATAACTGGGTTCTCCTGTTTGTGTGGCTTGGTGCAGAGTCCTGTTGCCACCTTCTCAAGACACTTGATGTAGGCCTCCATGTTGAGTCTGAGGCACTGTGAATGGAGGCATAATGTCATCATCACTAATGATCACTCCAAACACCATAATGTTGACTGGATATATCATCCAATTATTTCCAAATCCTCTGCACTATCCTCAGATTGACACCCAAACACTCTGAAATGTTTGTATTGATGGTTCTAGCATGAATGCCAAGCAGTACAGCATGCCATTTCCAAATTTCTGGTGTGTGTGTGTGGGGGGGGATTGCATCATGGTGCTCTTTTCTCACAAACAGTGCCCAACTGACCCTACTATATTGTGCAATTGACAAAATTAAAAATATATAATGGCGACAATTTACCCATCGCACCCTGCAGCCATCCCTCTTTTATGCAAGTTTCATTGAAAATGACTAACATGGTGTGGTGGTTGAGTTTTTTTTATGGAATTTCTCATGTGTTCGTATAATTTTTTTCTTTTCATGACATTATATAAAAAATTTTCAAAATGTTTTCTATGCACTTTGGCTATACTTTTAGCCATTATCAAGGATGAATTTTATTTAACTTTTAACTGAAATAAAACATTCTGATAACTCTAGATGCATGCATAAAACAATGCATATTTTATGTACACATCTAGAGTTATCGGTTATTTTATTTTCCAAACACAGTCAGCACATTGTGGCTGTCGCCCTAGTTGATATTATTGAGTGTTGGCTTTTCTTTTTTCTTTTTTCTTTTTATTAATAATGCTTCCATTATTTTTAGCCTTTTTGTACATGTGGATGATGCTATTATATTTGTATTATCAGCGAGTATGTTATGGATAGTTTGGTAGGTATATGTATATTTAAATGAGAGCTAATTGAGCTATGGTCAGAGAGATGTAACAGGATTCTTGTAAAATATGGTGTAGTATATCCAATATAATTTTACAAATTTGGATTGGTCAGGAACACAGCTCCTTAAGGGACTTGTAAATTCATAAATAATATTGGTTTTCTGTAATGTAGATCTTGCAGGTGAAGAATTATTTTTTATGAGGAGTTTAGCAGTTTTAAATTTTTGTAATAAATAATTTAATTTTCTTGTTTTTGTTGACTGGAGTTGTATATTTCTTTATGATGTTTCTAAGTGAAGATTCATCTTACTATGCATTTGATTTTTGTAGAAAATGTTAATTTTTTTCTTTTTTTTTTTTTTTTTTTTTCTGTGTTTAGTATTACCTTAGAAAGAAAAAGTTTAATATGGTAATCTATGAGATGGTTTAGAAAAGCATTTGTTTCATTTTATTAAGCTCTTTAAAAAAAAAACTGACGAGAGGATGAATTCTTTTACTCTCGCATAAGGAAATTTTTAATAACACCTATTTTATATCTGACAGGACATTGAATAGTAAAATTAAGATAAGAGTTTTTACTTGTGGGTTTTTTATATAATGAAGTAGTGAATGTATTATTACTAGACTCCACAAGATCTTCTAAGAATTGGATTTTATTTTTGGGGTCTAAGTTAATAAGTGAATTTGGACGGAATTTTTTTCAAATGTAATTTTGAGATTATCAATTTCATTTTTGTTCTCGGCTAAAATAAAAATATTGTCTACATAGGGGACATATATTTTTAGTTTAGTAACTCTTTTAAAAACCTTGTTTTCTACATGGGACATAATAGAGAAGCACAGATCAATAGGATTTCTTACTTACTCCATTAGTTTGAGTGTAAATTTTGCATTTTATGGTTATAGAATTTTTTAAAAAATATTGGGTTTGTATGGAGGTGGAACTGAATTATCGTTATAGATGGAGTTAAGGCTTATACCTATAGTTTCATCAACAGGAACATTTGTGAATAAATTTTCTATGTCAAGAGACTATAATGCCTTGATTTGGTTTTGTAGTTTGAAGGATTTTGAGCAATTCATGGGTTGATTTGATGCTATAATTGGTAGGTAGATATGGGGTAGTAATATCATTGAGAAATTTTGACAATTGCTATATGAGTATATAGAAAGTGCTTGGAAAACATTCAGACAATTTTTATGTTGCCTGGACAGTAGTTTGTAACCTCGGGTTTCACGCTTTCACGATCTTCAGACAAACCAGTTATTTTTTTATTTTTTTTTATTTTTTCAAAAGTGGATCTATTTATGCTTTATTTATATATATCAATAGCACTACCAGCACTGTTACCAACACAACCACCACCCCCACAGATACAACCACTGCCATAACAATTAGCTTGGCCATCACAAAAGATATAACCATTAACACTCCAAAATTATTATTCTATGACTAGTAGTATTACTTTCACTGTTAGCATTGTTGTTACCATTTTAGGAACAATTACTTCATAACTATCACTACCACCATTAGTACTGCTTTTTTATCATTGTCATTATTACTATTATCATTATTACAATTGTCATTATTATTTTTTATTTCATTTATTATTTTTATTAATTCTTTATTTATTCTTTATTCCCTCTTTTTTTTTTTTTTTTTTTTTTGTTGCTATTGTCATTATCATGGTTATTATTGTTTCCATCATTATTATTAAGGATAAATTTACTGTTCATCATAACCAATAACACATCAATTGTTATCAATATATCAATAATAATACCGCAGCTGATATTACCATTAATATAGTCACAATCATTAATGACACAGCTGCAGTTATTGTTAAAAAAATACAAACATCATCACCATGTCTACAGACAGAACCCAACTTCACCCATGTGGTGGTATTAGACCTAGATTAATGAGTATGGGTATGTGTCTACATATGTAAGCATGTCTGCTGGTGCAAACAGCTGACCTGAAAAACATCAAAGCCACCCCTACATTGCTACATATAAAACACTACAATCTTGACACTGAAATAGAATGAAAATTGCATAAATACATTGGCTCAAATGTATGAATGTGT